CTGGCTTTGTCTCCTTTTTTTCGTTGTTGTTTTTAAACTCTGCGAAGCCGCCCTAGTTCAAAGGCCCCAGCGCTGGTGACTGGGAAGAAGAAACAGCGTCTGCTGTAGCAGCCTGGGGGGCTTGGAGAAGGCGGCGACGATGAGGGGAGAACGGGGCGAGCCGTGCCGTGGCCTGCGGAGGCCGGGCCTGAGGTTATCGCCGAGTGCTTGGAAGAGAGGAGCATCCCTCCCATGTCCTCTTCCTCTGGTGCCCCGGCGGTGCTGCCGGGGCGAGCGGCAAGCTGCCGGGGCAAACCGCGGCTCCCAGCAGGTAGCCAGGCCAGGATGAGTCCACGGTGCCCTCGTCGAGCCTTGGCCTGGGCCGAGAGCTGCTGCTTGGTCCTGGGCTTAAAGCGTTGGCATCCCCCTTTGTTCCTTCCAGGAGTTTGTCCGTAGGCCCTGGGGAAGTGGGGGGTTCCCCGGGTGCCGCTAAAGGTGCTGGGTAGGATGCTGTGAGTGCCGATTAGTCATAGCAGTGGTGAAGAGCAGAGCTGGCCGGATCAATTCAAAGCGTATACTTAGCCTTGGTTTGCCTTTGAACCATAGCTTTTTCTTTTTCCTTGAAACTCGACCATGTGAGGCAGTGACTCATAAATGGATCGTATTTCTCTGCGTTCTGCTTTGGAAGAGATGCTAGAATAGCAAGCTGCTGCGGAAACCGGGCTTGTCCCTGTTAGTTCCTCACCAGCAATCGGGGGTCTCGCCTGAAATCCCTTGTTACTAGGCTGCTTTGCTCCTTTTTGTAACTCACTTTTTAGAATGCCGGGTTGAGGTGTGGAAAAATGTTGGCGTTTATGTGCACAACTTAGGAAGAAACGTGGTGGATTCTGGATTTTGTGAGGGTGCGCGTGTGAAATCTTCATTATTTTTTGTGAGAGCTTGAGGAAGAAGCAAAGAAATCTAGACTTAAGGATCTAGCTTTTGTTCTCTGAAATACCTAAGCACAGCTGAATGCGCAAACCAACCGACCAAAAAAGATAAAATCAGCAGAATGTTTAAACCACGTGCTTGGGGGGAAAATTGTGTTTCGTCCAACTTAATACATGGCATAATCGCATGCACATATACCTGCGCTTCAGCTTGTGTTTAGAAATGGAGTTCGGGCGTCTTGCGCAGCATACAGCGTGGTGGAGCACGGAGGGAGGGATACAAGCCATCCCACTTAGGAGCAACCATAGGTTTGAGTTTGGTTATGCGGTTAGACCTTGGCTCCCACGCTGAGTTTTGTTATTGAGCTGGTTCGGTTCTGCTTTCCAACGCTTTTTTTTAATTTGTTTTTGGTGAGCGATTTGCTTTTAGCGAGGGCTACATGGCAAACTAAAGAGTAGGAGAACCTGAGACACGAACATGTGAGAGAAAGCTTTAGTCAGGCTGTCCTAAGGAGCATGATAAAACACCGGTGTTCTAAAGGTTTTTATAATAAACATGTAGTCTCGTAAGTTTTCTGTGTATTAAGTAATTTAACGAATGCTAGTTCCTTAATTGCCATGGGAATTTGGAGATGGGAGAGCTGAAGAAGCAGAAGGGGAAACGCGCTACTGCTTCATCAGGACATCATTTGCTCTGCTCTTACCTTCTCCTTCCAGGCCACTCCGTCCTTTGCTACCTTGGTGTTTGACAATTTTTCAGTTGCCCTCGTTCTTGTTACCAGTCCTGAAATCTCTGAAATGCTCCATAAAGCTGGCTCGTCAGTTTATTTGGTTGGGCTGTAGAGCAAGCAGTGGTTTTTTTTCTCTGTGCGCTTTACCTATGGATTATTTAGCTACATATTTAAAAGGGAGTTTTCATTCCACCTACTGAGTTATGCTTGTGGGAATGAAATAATCCATGATAATCATCATGATAATCTATTCTTAATTAGAAAGGTAAAGGTAAGCGGACAGGATGATGGTACGTTAAAGAACCGAACTCTAGCGGAATAGCGATGAAGAACAGAAATCCTTCCGCTGACTCAAGTACCTGAAAAAGCTGGGAGACAAGAAAGCCTTTTTTGTTGTCTTTGTTTTGCTTTTTAGAATTAATTTGTTCTGATTTGCCTGCCATAAAGGGTATAAAATACCCGCTGGCACTGGGTATTCCGCTCACTAGTCAAGTTCCAAAATGTTAATTAAGTGTCCGACTTGATACTTCACAAGGGATAAGGTTTCCAGAAAGTGAGATGCCCAAAATCATTAGCCACTTAAAAGTGCTGAATGTTGTTTCTAGATGTCATTGCTTGCCTCTTTATGAGTTTTGCTTCCCGCTGTCTGTCCTGCAGCACTTGCCCTCTGTTCCTCCTGAAAGTCAGGCGGGACACTTGAGTTTGTGCACGTATTTCACGAGGGGTTAGCTGAGAACGGCAGTAACTCCTCTGCTCTGTTGTAGCAGGCAGGTAGACTGATGTCTAGATTGTGTGCAAATTCCCACAGTTGTTTGGGTTTCTTTCATAATGTTGAAACTTGTTACACAACAGAGGAAACAATGTAGATTATATTGCCTAATAAATGGTGTCATAATGATCCCTAGTAATGGTTGGGAAAAAAACCAACTGATCCTGTGCCTTAAACGCACGATTCAGATCTAGAATTAGTGACAGCCTTCGGAAGTGGATGTTGGTTTGGAGACCTGTTTGAAGAGAAGTCTTCCAGTGCAGTGAATGAAGAAAAGGCAGGTATTAATTTGGGCAAGGAAACACTTTCTTGTTGTCTTTGAAATCATGTCAGTGACTGCTCCTAACCTTTTTGAGTCGACAATAGGAAAACTAGAAGGGGTTTTCAAACCAGCCTGAGAGCCAATGGTCAAATCTACTTTCACTGCAAATATAGTTTATGTGCTTAAATAGCGTACTTTTATTGGAAATTTTGGATTGCATATGCATAATATACACTGAGTTGACACGGAACTGGAGTGTGACAGTGCTTCTTCTGATGGTGTTGCAGATGTGGAAGGCTACTGCGGGCCACACCATTTCTGTCAATCAGGATGACGGAGCCGATGACTGGGAGACGGATCCTGATTTTGTGGTACGGCTTTTGAATTTTATCGTCTCCACAGAAGTGTGTTATGTAATGCGTTAAAGAGCAATTCTTCAGGGCGGGGGCTATGTCTCAGCAAAATAAACTGATAGGAGCATGTTCCAGAAGGAGGGAGAATTTGTGCCTGTGAGTGATTAACAGAGCTACCTTGTCTTGGCTGGGTACTGTAGGGAAGTCTGTATGGAAGAGATTTGCGTCAAGAAGCATAGCTTCTTGGGGCTGAACGTGTGCTCTGTGCATTTCAGCAGTGGACAAAGCACAGGGCTCACAGCAGAAGAGAACTGAAGGTGGTCTTAACTGCTTTTCTAGTGCTTCTGGTCTTGCTGACAGCTGAAGGCTTTTGCTGTCAACTCTAAAGTGCAGATAACTAGTAACGTCTTTGGGTTTTTAACTCTCTTTATGTGTGTCCTTCACAGAATGACGTGAGCGAGAAAGAACAGCGTTGGGGAGCTAAAACTGTGAAAGGATCTGGCCATCAAGAGCACATCAAGTAAAGCAGCTCTCTTTTTAAGTTTATTAATAGCCACTATTCCAGGTGACTTTTAATCAACTCATGTTCTCGGTTACTTGTATCTTCATAATTAAACCAAAAGTCTCCATAGAAGATCGATTAGAATCATAGAATGTTTTGGGTTGGAAAGGACTCCTAGAGGTCACTCAGTCCAGCTCCCCTGCAGTGAGCAGGGACGCTGCTAACTAGATGAGGTTGCTCAGAGCCCCGTCCAACCTGGCCTTGAATGTTTCCAGGGATGGGGCCTCCACTACCTCTCTGGGCAACCTGTTCCAGTGTTTCACCACCCTCATTGTAAAGAATTTCTTCCTTATATCTAGTCTAAACCTACCCTGGTTTAGTTTAAAACCATTACCCCTTGTCCTGTCACTGCTGGCCCTACTAAAAAGATTTTCCCCATCTTTCCTATAGGCCCCCTTTAGGTACTGAAAAGCCGCAATCAGGTCTCCCCGCAGCCTTCTCTTCTCCAGGCTGAACATCCCCAGCTCTCTCAGCCTGTCCTCATAGGAGAGGTGCTCCAGCCCTTGGATCATTTTAGTAGCCCTCCTCTGGACCCACTCCAACAGTTCCATGTCCTTGTGCTGAGGGCTCCAGAGCTGGATTGTTTGCCAGATGGCTGGTCTTTCAAGTATGTCAGTATCTTTAGATCTGAAATTAAGATCATAAATATGGTGTAGGGACTCAAATCTTTTTGTAACTGGAAATGTTGTTTTTCCTGCCTGTTTGTGTCTGGAGAGTTTCTTTGTTCCGTTTTGGTGCAAGAGACAGTACTGCCAGGGGAGAAGTTTGTGTTGGGTGATCTGAGCAGCTCCAGTTTGGTACTTTAAGGATACATTTGGTCCCTTACTTCTTAGGCTTTGTTTAGAAAACTGCTACCAAACTCATAAAAATTCTAGCAAAGTAACAAATTGAGCCCTCTGGCAGAAAAGAAAATGAATGCATCACGGAGGGCAATGTGAGACAGAAATGATCCATCTTCTGAATCTCTTACTTGTTACGAAAAGTGCCCGAGACTTAACTTTAAAGCAGTTTTAGGAGATCTATGATTGTGATGTTCGTTTTGGTTTTGCTTGTGTATTTCTGGGATATTAACCGTCATGGTATAAAGCTAAGAATAAATGTCATCAGTGTTGCAAACAGAGAGACTGCGGCTCACTTCAGGGCTCGATTTCATTCTGCCCTATTTGAAGTGCAGTGGGGACGCCTGCTGGCTGAATTACGCCTGAGGAACCTTTAAACTCAGGTGGGAAGTGTTTGAAGGTACACAATCGTGGTTTGTCCGTGTGCATAGCCTGCACTACTGTAAGTTCAACTCCTGCATATTGCAAGGGAGCGCTTGGGGAAGTGGAGGTGCATGTCTCCTTGCATCCTTATTTTGTGTTACAGTTTTGTCCAAAATGCTCAGTTAGAATTAGAGTCCCGTTACCATAGGGACTGTATGATAAGAGATGATCCCTATTCTGAAAACTTGCCATTTAAATAAAAAGCGTTGGAAAGAAATTAGGGTAGGAGAAGAAGACACATTTCACACACATATAAATTCTAGGTAATTGTTCAAATAGCAAAATACCCTTCCATGTTAGTCTTAGAACCAACACTTTCATTTAGGTTTGTGGTTTGTTTTTTTTTTGACAGTGTTTTGCAGTGGAATAAATTCCATTTCACAGAATATGAGGAAGTACTCTATGCACTGAAAAAATGGAAAGGGCTTGAAAAATACGAGTTGTCCAACTTTTAATTAAGATGACATTTTTACCATTTTTTATTTTGCGTCTTTTTGAAGTTATCTTCTGAAATTTTCTTAGTAAAACTTGCTGCTTAATTACTGTCTTTCAAGTATTCATCAGCTGAGAGAGAACGTATTCCAAGAACACCAGAACCTCAAAGAGAAGGAGCTTGAAACAGGACCAAAAGCTTCCCATGGCTATGGAGGGAAATTTGGCGTTGAACAAGATCGCATGGATAAAGTAAGTACGAAGGTTTCCCTGGGGTGATATTCTAAGCCTTGTCTGGCCTTGCTGCTGGCCAGCACAACTATATATGTGAGTTAAACTTGTTGAAGATGCAAAGTTATTCCAGTTTTGCTCGGTTTGGAGATGTAGAAGCTCAGATCATGGCATAAGCTATATACAGCGGTGGCTCATTTTGAGGGCAGAAGCATCACTCTTACAGTGCTCTAACAAGAACACTTATAACCACTATTACCCAAATCTGTCAGGCCATCATGTTCTGTTCCCTAATTAAATCAAGACGCTCCTAGAGAAGGAACTGAACTAAAGCACTTGAAGCCTCAGGAACGAGTATTTCAGGTGGCAAATTAGGAATCTGTGGATGATGAGAAGTTCTGGGATGTGCAGTGGCCCCACATGTTTTTGTTTGATGTTGCTCTGTCCTTAGAGCAAGTCTACTTGTTCATGTCCTGGGTGGATTCCCCTGGAGTCAGGATTCAAGTTTCTAAAAGTGTATTTCTACATTAAGGAAGTACTTAATGGATGAATAAATCTGGGTGGGTTTTTTTTTTTTTTATTTCAATGCTCTGCCAGCTATTGTATGCATATAGAGGTTGCCAGAGAATGAAGAAAAGGGTGTGCTGCTGCTTTTAAATTAGAGGGCAGCGCTCTCGAGCAGTGGTAAACCTTGAACAGTGACAAGTAATCCAGGTATTTAAAAAATCACTGTACTTCAGTCAGATGGTAGTGTTTTACATAAGGACTTGATGGCTGTTCAAGTTACACTCTATTAACAAAGGTAGTGATAATTCTTAAGGCAATTCCATTAGCTATGTGATAATTAGACAGTCATATCAACCTCTGGCTAGTTTCATTCATGTACTCTGTTAGAATAAGAACCAAACTGTTTCCTGAATAAGAATGATTTTATTTTCTTACTTTATTTACTTTCTGGGTTTGTAGTAATTTGACAGCCTTAAATTTTTGCTGAATTCCCATATTCCAGAGTAAATTGCTGCCTAATTCTCAGTGGGCCTTTGAAATAGGCTACCCTGACCTTTGAATCTGGGAAAGGAATTGCTGAACAGATTCAACCGCTAGGCCTGTTCTGCAGCTGTGTAGCTCTCTAGTGTCAGCAGTTTATCCCTCACCTGTGTCCATGGGAAAAAAAGAAAGAAAAAAAAAGTGTACTGTTTCCTGTAGGCCAGAATTAATCATCAGGAAAAACACGATGATCATGCCCATCTGACTGATACTGGTGGCAGTAGATGTTAATAATGTATTGTTTTAATAAAGCTCTCTTCCTTATAACTATAGTTATCATTGAGATCTCTCTTTCACAGGTGTCTGTGGCTCCATGCAGGTGTGCTAGTATTAAGGCTTGACTCACCTGAAGTAAATGACTGTTACTGCAGTGTTGTCAATGGCACAGGTTTTTGCTGCATTTAGGACAAAACCTTGATGCTGATTTAAAATGAAAAGTTACATCATTCTGCATGCCAGACCTCCGTAACTGATTTAAAATGTAGCAGAGTGTTGTGCTGAGGAATTACGAGGACAGTTTTCTCTGAAATACAGATTTCCAAGAAAAATCTTTTGCTAAGTCTTTTTTACAAAAGGGTATGTTGTAATGCTTGGTATTTGATGAAATGCAGAAGGTTCTGGTACCACATAAAGAAAACAATGTGCTTAAACCTCACCTACCTCAGTTGGCATAACAAAAGAGGGATCATGTAAAACCGCATAAAACCTAGGATTTTCAGAGCATGTCTTCCATAAATGTAATGGGTAATAGGAAGAAGAAGGGGAGGTGGGAGCCTTTTCTGTCACATGCAACAGTTACTCTGCTACAGAACACCTGCAAAATGAACTAGAGTATGACTGGTTTAGTCAGTAAAAGAAATGAGCTTTTATATTGCATATAAGTTAAGTTAATGTCCTATTATTGACATCCTTGTTCTTTTACCTGGAAATTACTTCAGCCCTTATGTGCAGTAATGTTTTGCTTTCCTACGTGCTGGGAATGTTCCCCCCCAGCACCTGTAAAAGCCAAGTTACTTACAGTTTCTAGACACCTTGTGTCCTCAAATTAAGTCACCTTGGTCCAGCTGTCTGCTACTGGTAAGAGATAAGCAGTTTCTTGTTCCTCAAAGGTCAGAGCTTGGGCCAGTAGCTTGGAGGGTGCTCTGCTGCAGCCACAGTTGCCAGTGGCCCTGTGCATGGGGACCGGTGCTGGAACCTGCGGTGCTGCAGGTGGTGGTGCTGAGTCAGGAGGGGTGCTTGTCACAGGGCGCAGCCTCTCGATCTGCTGTGTGCGATGGGTTGTAGGGTCTTCTCTTTCTGCCTCTGACAGGAATTGTATGTATTTGAGCAAGAGACCCAAATGTTAAAGTGGCAAATGGCAAGTTGCTCTGGCTAGCACTTAGTTTTGGCACTGGACAAGAAAAAAACATTTTTTGGCTATGTTACGTAGCACCCCTCAAGGTGTTAGGCTCTAGCATTGATTCCAGGGTCTAGAAGGGTATCCTAGCACTAGATTAGTGTAACGCTATCTGGATACACTTTCAGGTGTGTAATTACATATCCTCGTGTCTTACCCGAAGCCAGTGACAGTGCGATGTAACTGCACCTGGGCTTGCTGTGTTCAGCTCGAGTTCCAGGATCAGGCTCAAACTGGGAGACTGCGGGGCTGGGGTGCCTTTGGCATTGGGGATCTCTGTCTTGATGTGGATGCACTGCTTCATGTTGCGATGCCATTTTGCAAGTGAGGAGAAAGTATAGAGAGAAGATGGCTAATTTTTATTTTTACAGAAGATCGGGGTGCCTCCCTAAAAGAGTATCAGTGGAAAACCTAGCTGTAGTTGTATTTGGTTGCAATCTAATATCAGCTAAACCAGATCTGTAGCTCTGTGCCTCGATACAAGGCTGTGTATTTTATCTGGAACTAATCCTTCTTTTCTGTCCTGCATGAACACCATCAAGATCCTATCTGTATCTTGTTCTAATTCCTGTGATTTGGAAATAAAAATGCAGAGTGTAAACCAGTCTTCATAAAATACAGTCAAGGCTGTCAGACTCTTTGTTGGCTCTTCCCTTGCCGAGGCTGTATTGGTAGCACGGCGACTGTCTTCTCAAGTGAGTAGCAACTTCCCAGGAAGCTAGTTTCAACAGGTAGAGTGGCAGTGATGCGTGTTTGCCATGAAGCTTATCCTCAGGTTACGTGGTTGCAGTGTTTTCTCTTACATATAGAACTGTATAGAACTGCTGCCTGTTTCTGAACTTTCCAATTTCTTTTAGTCAGCTGTTGGACATGAATATCAATCAAAGCTTTCTAAGCATTGCTCCCAAGTGGATTCCGTGAAAGGGTTTGGTGGCAAGTTTGGAGTACAAACCGATAGAGTTGACCAGGTAAGCAATTTCATCTCATACTGCAGCTACTCCATGTCATTGAGTTTTATCATTTTGTATGTGCAGCTGAAAAATTCCAATATCTTAAAAATGCTGGTGTGGTCTGCTCTTCCTGCTGTATTTGAAGTTCGGCAGTAAGCTAACACTGACTGTTATGGAGATAAATTTCTGTTTAAAGCAAACCAGAAAAAAAGCCCTTATGAGAAACTGAGTTGAGTTGAGAAGAAAACTGAAAAGAGATGTTAAAATACGTCTTTTAGCCAGGCTGTGTTCTTTGATGAGGATAAAATCAGCATGAATGCTACAGAAGGAGGGATTTTGGGGTTGGTTTGTCCTGTATCACTGCAACATGAGCTATTGGGCAGGATAACTGGCGTCCTGTTCCAAGACTGTGTAACAACCCCTGCCCAGAAGTGCTGAATTCCTGTTGTACTGAATCCTGAACCTGGCAAGACCAGAGTATGTTGCTAGTACAATTTCCTTTGGCAAGGGATGACAAAAACCCTTGCCATGAACACGTGTACTAAATTGTCATGTACATGAATATGGCCTATAAGTTAAGTGTAGGTATTTATGCTCCTAGTCAAGGAGGTCAGAGCAGTATGGAAAGACACAGGAACTTTCTGTGCTGTTTGTCCACTGAAGTGCATGCATGAAGTTTTTCTACTAATATCTAACTCTTTGTCACATGTGCAATTTTATTTCTCTTCCAGTCAGCTGTTGGGTTTGAATATCAAGGGAAAACTGAGAAGCATGCCTCCCAAAAAGGTAAAGTGGTGCGGCGGTTGCCTCTGCAGACAGATGTTTTTTTATAAGACATACAATAGATCTCTGTTCTTTTACTGTTTGTAAAAGACCTTGTTTAATGAGGCCTCCACGTGATGTTCTCAATTAATCAAGTGTTGAGGGGTTTGGGTGGAAAACAAGATGACAAAATGAATTTCAAAGCAATTTCATGAGTTGATGAGGTTTTAAACAAGGAAATGGCCTGTCATAGTGAGCCTTACTTTTCTTTTAGGAGTGAGGTTTGAGGACATTCAGAAAGATTAGGAGTTGTTCTTTGCTATATTGCACCCTATTGGAAATAGGGAGTGGATTTAAGAGGAGCCATCATAAACTATAGGACTGTTGCCCATCTTATTTTTTGTTTAAACTTAATTTTGTGTGCTAAAGAGTGATATTTCAGTTCTGAAATAACTTCCCCCCTCCAATTGCTAGGATACAAAGTTTCTATTAAAAGCTTCTTAATTTCATTTTTATTGTGCTTTACTCTCAATGCAGACTACTCAAGTGGTTTTGGTGGAAAATACGGAGTACAGGCTGACAGAGTGGACAAGAGCGCAGTGGGGTTCGATTACCAGGGTAAAACTGAGAAACACGAGTCACAGAAGGGTGAGTACACACACGTGGTGGGTTCCTACTCTGACGTAGTAGCATTCATGATACGCGGTCCTGTAAAACACTGGTTTTTTTACATCTATGGCACTCCTAACCTGCTGAAAGTTAACGCTGTATAAAAGTTACGTTGCTAAAAACTTTGACTTCTGAAAAAGAAACCTAAAACATAGGTTCTGACTGGTGTTAAGTGATGATCCAATTGCTGTTACTTTGGAAGCAGGGCACATAGGTTTGTCTGAAGGTTTTTTGCAGCTTCTTTTGAAAGCTGTAGATTAAAGTACTGAGACTGTAAGCAGTTTAACCACAACAGAGAATTATTTCTAAAAGAATCAGTTGTTTGTAGATTAAAACATGTACCCATTAGTAGTGTTTAAAGTTAATACTGTGTTCAGGCATATCTGATCAAAAATCGACCATTTTATTGAAAAATCTTGACATTTTTGCCATCTGTTTTTGTTTATCTCAAAGAAATGTTTGCACTCTAGAAATGCTAAACAGAAGAAGGGGGTGTTTGTTTAAAAGCATCCAGTCTGTTGCTGACATGGTTTTTGAAGTTCACTTTGCTATAAGTGTCTTATATCAAGGAGTCAAGTAGCAGAATTGCTGATATCACCCAGCAGTTGAACTACAAATGATGCTATTTTATTTTCCGTCCTGAGTGAATGTATTCTGAAGAATTTATGACTTGGGAGTGTCTGGAATCAAGATTAACTGGGGTTGTCAGTGCTTCTTTTAATACGTAATGTAATGGTAACAGGTCTGATTATCACAATTTTTCAAGGTAATATTTTGTTATTGAACACTTACAAACAAAATTCTTCACTCTTATCTCTAGATTATTCCAAGGGCTTTGGTGGTAAATATGGTGTTGACAAGGACAAAGTGGACAAAAGTGCTGTTGGCTTTGAATATCAAGGCAAAACGGAAAAACATGAATCACAGAAAGGTTTTTATTATCTTATTTAAAAATACTAGTTTCAATCAATGAGTCTTTTAAACCTGGGAAAAAATATTTTGGCTGGTGTTTTTTTTTTTTGTGGTGAATGTGTGTTTGCCCTTTGTTTGTGGGTATTTCTGTTTCCCTTAAATGAAAAGGAAGACACAGTAAACTGTCCCAAGTTTCACAATCTGATTTCCAAGGGACCTTACGTCCGTATGGATGTTATTGAAATAAATGCATAATTGCACCGATCTGTGGTATTCAGAGGCAGTATCAAGTCCTTCATTCTTTATATATCTACCTTGTGCTTATATGTGTGTGTTATATGGCTTTAGGTGGAAAGGGCATCAAATTCTTCAAATCTCAGAATATTACTGAGTCTGTGTGCTATAATCTTCACTGGATTTGTGGTGCTTCCTTTGCATCATGATCCTAGAGTTACTGAATGCGTATCCTTCCCCTCTGTCAAAGTAGTGTAGCAGGAGGAAAAAAACCTGAAAAATGGAATCATTAATGACAGGGCAGCTTACCCCATAACGTTACTGTTTTTTTTACTAAATACCATTTACAGTCATCAACTGCAATAATGTTTTCTGAAACTTCATGCATACAGATTATGTAAAGGGGTTTGGAGGCAAGTTTGGAGTGCAGACAGACAGACAAGACAAATGTGCACTTGGCTGGGATCACCAGGAGAAGGTGCAGCTGCATGAGTCCCAGAAAGGTATATCAGTTCACAGTTCTTTTCCATTCTTTCTGAATTCCTTCATTTTGACTTTTCTCTTCCATGTGTCCCCCTGTATCATTGGCCACAGCCTTACAGTAGCTGACGTGAATCTCCTTTTTCTGTGTTTGAACGGTTGCTGTGTATTGGTTGTACTGGTGTCTGCAAAGCAGGTTTAACATATCTGATACCGAGTCCCTGAAAGTTCAGACTTAGTGATAAGTTCTCAATGGAGAAGCTTTCTGAGCCTTCAAGCAGCCTGGATTATTTTTTTTCTTTTTCAGTTGAGTTGTGCAGACCACAAATGAGCAATTTCTTTGTACTTTCCACAGATAATATCCCTTTTCTGGTCTCTTGTTACGTATACCCCTGTTTTCATGTAGGGGAAATCTAATGCTGTCCTTTCTCATTGCCTGTGAGGTACCGATTCCTATGAAATACTGTTACCCAGAAGAAAAGTTGCAGAATAACAATTGCTCCTGAGCCCTCTGCCTGTTACCACTCTTAACTTAAAGAAATTAAATTAATTTTTTTTTTAATTAAAGAAATTAAAAGTGATCCTTAGAATATTGTTCTTTGGTGGGCTCCAGCAGATTGTTCCGAGAGGATTACCCTGCAGCCCGTTTCTTTTTTTTGTGCCCTCATTTTATACCATATATTGAAATGGCTGTTCCAAGGCAGCAGTAGGCAATGGTCACAGCTCCTAGCTGAGCGCTTTTCTTCCTCAAGCT